TCTAAAACTCATCTCCTTTTGTGAGCTTAAAAAACTCTTGTAAGCTTCAAGGATTGACTTAGATCCACCTCTCACAGGTCAAAATGACTCCAGGTAAGTACTGCCAATCAACAGCCTGTTTCCCCACCTGCCTATTCCGCTTATTCCAGAGGGTGGGATCTTGCCCCCTTTCCCTAGTCTTGGGACTCCCTTCCCCCAACTAACAGGACCATGGGCCTAAAATGTACATCTAACAAAAAGTTTTACCCCTAAACTCCTTAACGTTATCTTCTGCCCCTGATATATCTGTTCCAGCATTCTGCCAGGTCCAGATGTTCCCTCAAAATCTGCATCCTAGACAGCTTCAAAGGGGCTAGCCCCAGGGGGTCCAGCCTCACAGAAGCTGCCTGTACTTCCTTAGCCCCAGAAAGTCCCACAGAGCCTGAACAACAAGTGAAACAAACAGCCTGCCTTTCCAGGACTTGGCCACCATCCCAGCTTCCTTAGGTCTCTAAAGATATCAGCACCCCCAGGCACCAGGAAGCAGTCTAAAGAGCCTGGAGCCTCACCTGCCTCACCATCACCCCTTCCTATTTCCTCACATTTTTTAATAAACAAAAGGGAGGAATGTTAGAAACCAGGTGGTCCCCCAGTCTGCCCTCAGTGACTCAGGGCCAGCAGCCATGTTATCACCAACCCCTGTACCCTTTAAAAGGTCCCTTCCTCTCATTCTGTCTGTCTGTCTGTCTCTGTGTCTCTGTCCCTCCCTCTCTCTTCCTCACTCTGAGATGGTCATTCATGCCCCTCAATAAATCTCTTGCATGATGTCTGTTGTGTGGTGTGATCTCTGCAGCATTCCTGGCTCTGATCCACCAACATACTCTGCCACATAAATTCTAAGACCTCTGCCATGCAATATATGAGCACATTTTATTTTTTAAAGTAAATTAAAATTATTTTCCTTGCAAAGCCATCTACTCTAGTTTTGCTTTGGTGGTGGTTAAGCTTGAGTTTGCTTTTGTAAATGACTTATTTTTATTTATATGAATATATGTAAGTCTGTTTAAGTGTTTGTGTACTACTTGTGAGCAGAGCCTGCAGAAGCAAGAAGAGGACATTGGATTTCTGGAAACTGGAGTTACAAATAGCTGTGACTTGCCATGTGGGTGTTGGGAACTAAATCCAGGTCCTTTGCAAGAACAGCAAGTGGTCCTAACCACTGAACCATCTTTCTAGTCCCTGAGTATACTTCTTACCCAAATGTTTTGAATCATAGAACAGGTTTGAATCACAGTGGTAGGAAACTCTCTACTGCTCACAGCCGCACATTTTCAGGGAAGATGATAACAAAAGTTCCATTTCTTCCCTTTTTTCCCTTTGGGGGCAGGCCCCAGGAGAGCAGCTGTTCTCTTAGGTGGCTGTTAAACATTAGCAATAAATCTCTCTGGAATTATGCTGAACCAAGTGACGTAGAAGAAAGTTTGTACCAAATAAATTTGCGTAGATTAGAATCTGCAGGTGGTCTGAAGCATGCCTGTGTTGGGAGCCAAATTATGCAGCACTGGAATCTTTTGAAAAGAGAACAAAGCGCCTTTCATTGCTTGGATTCTAAGCACAGCTTAGTACTTCATTAGAAACCTCTTAGCTCGCCCCAGGAACCTTTCAGATTTAATTATGAGGTGGGGTAAAAGCCCCCTCTTCTCGGGACATCACACTGCAGCATTTTATTCTGTTTCCTGGGAGACCTCCAAGTTTTAAAAACTGCAGAACTCACCAGTGGCTATTTAATATTTTCCTCCTGAAATCTAAGATCAAGCTAAATCAAAGCAAACATCTCAGCCAATATGAATTCTGAAATGAAAATTACAAAGAACTCAAGAGCAATGGAGTGAAAAACAAAGAAATTTGAGTGCCTTCTATGGTTCAACCACCTTGTCATGCTGCTTATGGTTGGCTGTCAATCTTAATTTTCTTCTTAATTAAAATGAGGAGGTGTATAACTAAATGTCACAACTCTACACTGCGGCCAATGTTTAAATCTGCTAACATCGCTCCATGTTTATCATTTTGGGGGGTTGCAAAGGTGCTTCAAAATCATAATTTTAGGGAGCTGGAGAGATGGACCAGTGGAGCGTTTGCTGTACATGCATGAAGACCATGGTTTGATTTCCAATATCCATGCAAAAAGCTGGGACGTTGGCATGCATCTGCAATCCCATTGTAATCACAGATTTGGGGAGATGGAGGCAGGTGGATCCCTGGAGCTCACTGGCTATCCACCTTTGCCAAGTAAATGAACTGCAAATTCACAGAGAAATCCTGTCTCAAATAATCAGGTGAAATTAACCCCTGATCACCACATGTGCCTGCACCTTCATGTGAACAAATGCTCCTACACATAAACATGTGCACAAACAGATTAGACATCTAAAACTACAGTGTCTGATTATTGTCGCAGAGATGTTTTAAATTTCAGTCTAAGGGGCTACTTAATCACTGAAAGCCATGTGTAACTGAAGCCATAGAATTTTCATGGATGCTTCACTAACTTGGCTGAAACATAAAGACCAAGGGAACAATACATCACTCTGGAGGCGAGTGTGCTAGCCCAGTGTTTGGAAAGACCATTCCCTATCAAGCTTAGATGGGCAAGCTGAGCCTGCTGAATAATGGTGCTGGAATGACTCCTTCAATTCCTCATGTCTGGGTATGCACCCTAATAATGTTTATGAGTTTAAATGGCAATTCCTAAAGACTCTTTGGGACAAAGCATTTTCAGAGGCTCAGCTGACACAGGTCTTACATGATACTCAAGGGGAAACACAGCAAAAGAGAAAACTAAAAGATGAATAAATAACTCTTGATTCCCAAGTCTCAGGTTCTAGCTCTGAATCCTAAAAGCAATAATTTCTTTTTATACATATCAGAGAAATACACTGACAATAGAGTATTAGAGAAAAACCAACTTTTCAGTTTCCCCATTCAGTTCAAAAGCTAACAACTGGGGCGGTGGCTCGATGGGTAAGTGCTGGCTGTGCAAGTGTGAGGACTTGACTTTGGATCCCATCATCCACTTAAAGCTGATGTTGTACCAGAGAATCTGTATTCTCAACGCGCCTGTAGATATAGATATGATGTAGAGACAGGCTAGCCTAGTTTAGGCAGCTATAAAGAACAAGAGATGCATGCTGTGTTAAACAAAGTGGAAGGTGGAGAATAATACTGACTTCTCTATATATATGACTATAGACAGACACAGACAGACAGACAGACAGACACACACACACACACACACACACACACACACACACACACACACACGATTTAAAAAAGACAAAGAACAAAAAAGGCTAACAGGTGGGAGAGAACACATACAAATCTGGCCCAAAGACAGTGTTCCAAGGTTCTGACAAGTAAGTCTTGAGCTGACAATGAGTTCTTTAATTCTTCAGTACATGTTGAAAATCAGGGCATATCTACCTATATCTGTATCATCTGTATCAACCATATCATCTATATTCACATCTACATCTATATATATATATATAAGAACAGACCAAACCAGAATAGTCACGAACCTCTTTACTCCATGATAGACATGAACCAACCCTTACATTTTCCTGACTATGACCACAATAGAGAAGAAAATGACAAGGGTATCTGTCTGTGGTAATGTTTTATTCAAGGACTTTAAAAATATTAAAGTTTTGCTTTGTCTGTTCAAGGAGACAGAAAACATACTGTGTTCACAGGATCCCAGGAACATACTTGTATAATGCCATTTCAGGGGCTATGTGTTTTACTAATTGTGTTATTAGCCACTGTTTTGTTGTAAGAGATGCCGAGGAGTGTATCTAAAGGCATGTCAGAGTCATGTTTTCATAGTTGCTTGAGTCAGCTGGATTACTGGCTGCATGTGTAATGAACCCAAAGCCAGTTTTCAGATATGATGGTGCAGGGTGAGTTTTCATTGTTAACTTCCTATAACTCAGAATCACCTGAGAAGAAAGTTTGGCTGAAGAACTGTAGCTCAAGCTGGCCTGCGGGCATGTCTGTGAGGGATGGCTTTGACTGTTAACTGAAGTGGGAAGACACACCTGAATGTTGGTGGCACTGTTTCCTGGGCTAGCCCTGAACTGTAGGAGAGAGAGTGACGCTAACTGGGCATAAACAACATAGAGAGCAAGCAGGGATCCATGTGCTTCTCCTGCTCTTGACTGTGGATGTGCTGTGACCCACTTCAAGTGCCTGCCACTATCACTTCCTCAGCAATGGACTGTAACCTGGAATGTGAACCAAATAAACATTTCTCTCCTAAGTGCCTAAGTGGCTTCTTGTCAGAGTGTTTGTTACAATTACAGAAATGAACCTGTGACAGATGGGTTCTCATTATCACACCACTGAGACCACCCTAAAGAAGTCATATCGGCTGTCATTCAGATTAGTTCAACAGTTGAAATGATGCCCTTACCTCTGCCCCAATCCCTCAAACATTCCCAAAGCTACTTAGGTAAAATGTGAGTTGAGTCCACTAACCATTCTGCTCACAAACCACTATTAATTCTCATCTTAGTGTAAAAGGCCAGGTTCCTACTCTGACCCACAGAGCCTTATCTCCTGCCTGTACCAGATGAGTCCCCATGGCTTCTCCCATGCTTCCTCCCCTTGTCCTCTTCAGCGCCCCCTGACTCCCCCACTCAACACCTACTGCAGGACCCTGGAGTCACTGCTTGTTCCTTTTTTCAAAATCCATTTCCACATAGATTCCCATGGAACATTCCTTCGTTTTTCACAGGTCTTTTAAAACATATTAAAAATTTTCTCTCTTCCTGGATAACTTACTTTGAAATTCTCTGCAATATTTTATATCACCTCAAAAAATAAGACAAAGAATGATCCTCCCCTAAAAAAATTATACTGTATCCATCAGTACCTAGCACATTATAAACATACTGGTTTGTGTTGCTGAATATCTGTAATTCTACTAGAAGGTACATCATTAAGGACAAGGACTTACTTACTCTTTGTTTTGTCCATAGGTCTACTGTTAGCACCAGGACTAATGCCTAGGCACAGAGAGTGTGTGCAGTTAGCAATTGTTAAGTTAAAGACTAAAGTCTTATTATCTCTTCCCATCCCCAGCTTAACCATGAAAAGAAGCCTGCAATTGGTCCATATGGTAACCAAAATTCTAAATCACTCAGAAATTCTGAAACTAGTTACCAACTCTACTTCATGGTGAGAGCATCTCTTTGCATGTTATCTAATTTGCCATACATTCCATCTTCTGCTCTCTCCATTATGATACAGGCAGCTATTTAGTGCCTCACCCAGCCGAGGATAGTTGGAATTAAAGGATGTAATTTATGAGAAGCATAAAATCCTTTGAATCCAAGGCGGAAATCACTCATGGAAAATCTCATCAGAAATGGGTTTTATGGCTTACTGGGAGCTGTATTATTTTCACAGGTTTCTTCCTCATTTGGTGTTTCAGCTTCTTCCTCCTCTTCTTCTGGGTCATCAGTGTCTCCTGAATCATCACTGTCATCCACCCATTTTCCTGGCATGAGACCTGCAGAGTCATAGGAGTGGCATAGAGGACCCACAATGTGTGAAATAAAGGATTCTTGAAGGTTGGCCAGCTGTGGGGCAGAACGGTCCATAAAGGGGCTTATGGGCAAACCGAGGCTGGCTTCTTCATCACCCTAGAAATAGGAATTCACAAAGGTAACGACAAAGGTAAATGTTAGAGGAGTATAAATATAAGACAAGTCAACATACATTTGGCATCTAATGTGTAGATATTCTATAACCCAGATAATCAAATAAAATCCCTTGACGTCACTGCTCAGAATCATGGCCCTGGTGGCTAAGACGCCCAGAGAAGGACTTTGTTCCTGGTATTTGTTAACTGTGCAGTCTTAACATTTTTGGTTCTCTTTGAAGGGGACATGTATTGAGATTACTGATATGCACCACTACTTAAGTGCTACTGGGGTTTGAACTGAGGCTTCCTAACCACTAGGCAAGCATGCTACCGGCTGGGCCATACCCCTATTATGTTTGCCTTTTCGCCTTGACTGCTAGAAAGCATAAACCATTTTTCTTGCCCCATTCAAGTTGCTATATTATCCCAGATTTTGTTTAATTTATATCTTCTGTGATTATGTTTTTAATATTATTTATTACATTTTTTGTCTTTAACTGCCTCAAATATTTATGATAAAAATAACAGCTCATAAACAAAAGGTTACCTAGAAGACTTAATAAATTAATAAAATTATAAGCCAGGATATGTGGATTTTCTTTTTCTTTCATATTTTTCTGCATTTTAGTACTTTACCATTGATTGATAATGCCATTATGGGAAAAGGCAACACACTATTTTTAAAAGCATAAATATTTTATTTTGCATATGAATGCTGACTACACAAACCTTAAAAGTTTATTCTAATCCTTATTTAAGTACCATTATTGGGCACTTTATTTTCTGCTATTGGCCTGAACTCTGTCCCCAGTCACATGGACAGACTTGTTATAGTCACATTCTGCCCCCTTTTCTTCTGCGATCTGACCTCACACTGCAGCCCCAGGAGGTCCCTCCTCAGCCTCCCCATGTTGGGATTCCAAGCTTTTGCTACCATGCTGGCTTATCCCTGTGGTCTTTAGGGCACTCAAGAAGGATCTAACATTTCTTTTGGATCAGCTCTGTGATAAGTACTTGAGAGGATTTCCCTGCTCAAACTCCACAGCAATGTTCTGATAAACCTATTTTTAAAGTTGTACATGTAGCTTTTAACAGTGGACCACAGTCAATCTATCATCTATATTTTCCCCCAGGGTAAGCAACTTCACTTTTTTCACACCCCCTTAAGTCACTGAGTCCTCTCCTTTCTCTGTTCCCATTCTCTTCCATGTTCTTCTTAAGAAAGTTGTTCAGAACTGCAAATATAATTAGAACAATGTAGGTTTATGTGGGGATGGTCACCCATGCTTAGCTGCATGTAGTAGCTTTTCAGGGAGTCTGTTAATTCTTTTGTTCTTGTATCAAATATAGAATCTGTATGACTGTGGACACACATACATACACACACACACTTCTTTCATGCACTGCTGTTATTTAGTTGTACTTGGACAGCAGTTTCCTTATATACATCTGAAGCTATTTTTACTACAATAAATAAACCTATAGCAGTTCAGCATTTCATTAGATTATTCTGTCATACTAACAGTCTTCTCCAAAATGCTTGCAGATAATTTTACTTCAGTGTTCAAGAGTTTAATTCATTTTCATGTGTCATTTTTAAATTTCTGCTGAAACTACCTAGTATATTTGGTGCAAGTATGAATACAAGATGGAGTGATCATGCTGTCACGTGGCTTGAGGTAAGTTTTGGTGGACTTGTACACAGCAAGGACACAGCTTGTGATGGGTGTTGCAGTTCTGTGAGTTACCTGCTCATAAAACTCACTGGCGATGCCCTCTGTCCACTTCAGGTGGAGTTCTTTACATTTAGCAGGCCCGTTAATGTCAGCCAACTTTATACACATTTGACATACCAGGAGACGATCATTTTCATTGGTCCAATCTATCCCAACATCATCGTTTACCTGTTTGAGGGACAAAATTAACATGCTTTGTCTCTATGATAGCTCAACTAGAACATGAGAAATGACAACAGAATTTGATTGTCTTCTTTCTGTGTGGGAATGAGAACATAATACATCAGAACTTCAGATACTAGAACTAATATCATCAGTTTGCATTGAAAAAAAAAGTGATGCAGCTCATCCAAAATTAAAGTAGTCAAAGAAAAAGTAACTATTACTGAACTTACAAGAAATCCTGTTTGAAGTTAGCATATAGTATCAACCTGTATTAAATAATAAAACTACAATAAGAAGTTTTCTTTTGTATGTGTATGCATAAGAGTGTTTGCAGGAGTGTATTATGTGTGTGTGGGGGCGGGAGGTCAAAGTTCAACTCAGGTATCTTTCCTCAGGAGCCACTGTCTTGATGTGGAATAATCCTCTTGCACACTGTAAAGATTTGTCACTTGAATTGGTTTAATAAAATGCTGATTGGCTGATAGCCAGGCAGGAAGTATAGGTGTGGCAACCAAACTAAGGATGCTGGGATGAAGAATGGAGGAGTCGGGAGAGATGCCAGCAGACACAGGGAAAACAGGACATGTAGAAAAATGAGGTAATAAGCCATGAGCCACATGGCAGAGGGTAGATGAGAAAGATGGGTTAATTTGAAGTGTAAGAGCTAGCTAGTAACAAGCCTGAGCTATCAACCAAATATTTGTAATTACTATTAAGCCTCTAAGTGATTATTTGAGAGCAGGTGTGGGACAGGCAAACTCTGCCTACACCACCTTGCTTTTTAGACAGGGTCTCTCCCTGATTAGGCTGCTGGTCAGTAAGGCTCGAGCCTCCTGTGTCTGCCTCCCCAGTACTAAGGCACTGGTATTATGCATGAGTCCTACCGTGCTCAGTCTTTTAATTTTTTTTTTCTTTTTTAATGTGGGCTCTCACAGTCACACTTTGGTCTTCATGCTGACTAAGCAAATACTTTAATGACTAAGGCTTCTTCCCAGGAACAAATAAACTTTCTTGAATTAATATTTAGGCTTTTATGTTTGATACATGAAATTTTGCTTCAAGTTTTCTTTCCTTTCTACTGCTGTCAGATAATTTACCTCATATACTCTAGACATGATTATATGTTAAATCAAACATAGCAACAATGGTAGCTAATATTTTTTATTCTCTGTAGAACAGAGTCTAACACACATAGCCAAGACCTCAACTTCTTAGGTATCTAGACTCAGAGTGATACATAGATGCCAGCTTGGGAATAAATATTTTAATCATTTTTTTTTCTCACAGAAAGCTCATGATGATTGAGTTTTGTTCAATACTTGATTATAAGACACCTTTTAATGTGCTCATAAAATGAACACTAGTAGAGATCTACTTACCTTGGCATTAAATTTGGCTACAAAGTCAAAGTGTTTCTTCAGGTCAGTAGCCAAGATTGCTTCAATGACTAGGAATCGGAAATGTTTAAATTCCACGTGGTCTAGGTTACCTAAGAAGTTATACTCTGGCCGAGACATAAAGAGATTCCATGCTGCAGCGGCATGATGATTCTCCAGAACTGACCGGTCATTGTACAGCACCGCCTAGGGTGGAAGGCAGGAGAGGAGAGGGTCCAACTTCTTACGTTAAAAAGGAATCACAAAAGTCTATGAGAATATGCAAGGCTTTAAATTTCTCATTTTTATGTTGGCTATTAAGAGTCACAGTGTTATCTTGATTGTTGATGCCTTTTCTTGGGTAATATCATTTTCTTGACATATAAGTTCCTCCCCTTAAAATGTTTTTTTTGAAAATATATATATATATATAATTACATGTATACATTATATATTGATTTTATATATATAATTATTTTCTTAAAATTTTTTTATTTGAAGAAACTTTGTTTAGGTCAAAAGAATTCTCCCCAATGTCTAAGATAAATGGATAGTAAATTCTTACCAATGAAAATACATGCACTAAGAATAACTGTTACCATGAAAATATTTCCAGAGTAAGTTTTCCATCCCAAAGTCAGACCCTTAAAGGATCGAGGAAAACATGGTTCTCCAGTCTTTTCAGGGGGCCATGTGTGTAAGCTGTCTTTGCTTCATCGGAGATATTCACTGTTAGTCATTTGATTCTAAGAAGGCAGCTGAGAAATGATCTTTCTGTGTAATGAGGTTAGACATCTGCCATGAATATCTTGGCACACACCATGACATTTTTGGAAATTAGCAAGGCCTCTAAGAATTTTACCTGAGCACTAAGTACAGACTAGTTTCCACAGACCTAGTGCCTATTACAAGTCATACTTGTAAAATTAATTTTATTCCGAGAAATGTACACCCTAATTTATTTTCTCCTCACGAAAATCGAACCTTTACCTGAGGAGCACTGGTGGCGACCAGGAAAGCATTGGTCCTTCCTGGGTGGTCGTAGTCGTGCATGGCCGCAGCCACATACAAAGCCATCAACTCTAAGGCGGGGATATTCCCAGACAGACATCCGTATTTGTCATCTGGCACATGATACATTTTTGAAAACACATATCCCATGTGTCCGTGTGTAAATCCACTGTCAGAATCTGAGGAGAGGAAGTGAAAGTGATAGACATTCTTAAAAACTGTAAAGCTGGAATCCTCTTCCTGATTTCCTTTGAAAAAAAGCACACAATTCGAATTCCTGGCTTTTACAAGAAGCACAGGCATAATTCATACACACCAGAGTCGCTTGCTGATCCATGATCGCTAATCACGCTTGGGAGGCCAGGAATTGGTTGCGTTGTGAGATACCACACAGCATGTAAAACATCAGTGGCATGGATTCTGTTATGATCTGTAATGATGCAAAGGAGCGAGCGCACATCAGCTGGTGAACTCGGGTCCAAGGCTGAAGACTGCCATCTACTGGGTAAACACTTCTGTCCACACTTTAACTCTCCAGGGAACACATGCCAGACTTCCCTGGAGAGGAACTTCTAGAAAATTCTTCCACCAATTCCATCATTTTCACAGTAACCAGAAATCATACCCACAGCATTTATTGTGCACCAGATATCCAAAGTGGAAAAGTCAGTGTCTGATTCTTCCAGAAGCCTATGTAGGCAGTTAACTCAACGTGTTGTGTTTACATTTCTGTTTTTTTGCTTTTGTACAAAAAAAACTTTGTAGAGATGCAGAAAGAAAGACCTAAACTACTCAGACCAATGGTCTCAAGGACCAAAATGTCATCTGAGATGAATGAATGGCATCTTCTTCTTATTTACAGCAAAGAGGGCCAGCTGAAGGGACCAGTGACAATACCAAACACCTCACATCCTCTTTTACCACCAGGAATCAGCAGGTGCATCAACCAAGCAATCATATATATTTTTTTTTATCATATCCCTACTAATAAGTTGCCTATGTAGACTGCTATATCAGCTGCTGCTTCATGAAGTTCCCCCCTTAATCCCTTCCTTTTTATAGCTGCATCTAGATGAACTCAGACTAACATGAATGACAGTTAAGCTTTATGCTCCTTTGCCCTGAACTGTGTTACAGATCGACTCTGACTAAAGACTTAATCTCTAAGATGTGAATAGAGTCTCCCATCACAGTTCACCCAATTCCATTTTCACTTTCCCTCCACAGCTTTTTGATACTAATTGTGGATTTGTTTACAGAAGGCCATCAGACACATAATTCTTCAGGAGTGTCAATGCTAAAATAATTAGAGGAGTGAACGCTTGTTTTTGTAATTAAAACTATGACAAGGAAGGCTTTCGCTAGCTTGCTCACATTAGTCTAACCCTCTAAGCTCAACAGGGAGGAGACATTATATTTTGAAGCAGTGCCAATCAAGCCAAAGCTTTCCTAGGAGATGGAAATAAGAGACCTCAAATAGTGCAACAGGTTTATTTATTTTAACATTTACTTATTTTGTGTATATGTGCATACACACATACACACAAGAACACCCTGGAGGTCAGAGGAAAACCTGTGGAAATGAGTTCTGTCCTTGTAACTATGGGTTCAAGGGGTCAAACTTAGGTCCTCTGCTCTGATGGAAAGCATCTTTATCCATTGAGTCAACCTATTTGCCCTGTAAGTATCCTTAGTTTATAAATTATTTTCACATGGAGTGGACAATTTAATAGTTTATAAAAATAAATTATTTGCTCATCTAAAAATAGGAAATATAAAACATAAAATAACAAGCTTTAGAATCTGGAGGTTTCTTTTTATATTTGAAAACTGGCCCTGTCCTCCCCATTGTCACATGTGACACCACAGACAGAAATGTGCTCTGGGTCACAGCAAAGCGGCATGACCACACATCACAGTATTTCTATGCAGTATGGCATCTAAGTGAACTCAATAAAACCTGCTTATTTGAAAAATAAAATACATGTGTGAATGAAACAATAATTTGTAATTCCTGTCCAGTGCATAACTGTAATTCAGTTTTTCTGTGGCTTCCTTTCTGAAAATGTTTATTTATGTAACTCCTTAATCCTTGTGAAATCACTAACATTTATGTCACTTGCTGGCATCTGACCAGGCTGAGCCCTGGGAAAGTCACATTAAAGGAAGCCAGGCCTATCGCCAGATTCCCACTCCTCCCCCACAACAACCCCCTTTTCATCTCTCTCTTCCAACTTTAATGGCCTCAGCAACCAGACTATCCCAAAGGACCCAGTACCATTAAGCACCTCTTCCCCCAAGCCAAGTGGCCTGTTCTGCCCCTCGTGCTTTATCTTGTTCTCCTCGGCACATTTCAGTGGCAGGCTGTGTCCTTCCTTCTTTCTGGTCACACTATGTGCTGTGCATTTTTACATGAGTACACCATGAGAGTATCTTAAAAACATTAGGCTCACTAGGCTAGCATGTTCACCCTTTTCTGAGATACCTGAGATTATTTGTGTCCAAGTATAAGCATTTTTAAAATTTAACTTCATTTTTTTTTCTGTTTTTACTTTTAAGACAGGGTGTCTCTCACTACAGTTCAACTCATTATGTAGTCCAGGATAACCTTGAAGTTCTGATCCTCTTGCCTTAGCATCCTGAGTGCTGAAATTACAGACATGTGCCACCAGACTTCCTACTTGCTAGGCAAGTACTTTACCAACTGGGCTACACCCCCAGCCCTTCATTTCAAGTCTTGATAACTACAAAAGCCATGAGCTTTTGAAGTTCAAAATATATAAAAGCAAACTTAAAACGGAAAACAGGTTTTAAACAACACATATCCAACATTAGCGCACATGCTGCTGGAGTCTACAGAAAGCACATTCCTAAGATATATTCAAATTAACAGATTGAATAGCATTGATCTTTCTTCTATGTATTTATTCCTTTGAAAGACCATATGGATATTACATACTTCTACAGCTCCTTTAATTTGGGTCTTTGAATGTTTTCTTCAGCTCCAATTATTCTATATAGTATTGTAAAGCAACCATGTATATGCGCAGTGATTACATGGATTTGACATGAACATTTAGCCTCTCCTCTGCATTCTGTCTTCATTATTATAATTTTCTAAATAATCAATACTGAAATTCTTGAGTGCCTTCATCTTGGGGTTTCATGTGCACCCGACTTTTTAAAACAACTTCCCCATTACCATTTTTGTATGTTTCTTCTTTTCTATACTATTAACTAAACTACCATCTTTCAGCCCCTCTGAATACCAACAAGGTTTATCTCATCTTGAGAAAACATCAACTGTTCTTGTTTTAGTTGAACTGATCAGATACCATGATAAAAATTTAAATTCAGTCAATAAAAGCAGGTGATTATTTAATGAGAATAAATTTATATTTAACATTTAATCTTACCTCAAACAACTATGAGAGATATACAAGGCACATATTCTAATCTTTTAAGAAATATCATCCCATTTGATCCTGACATTCATGTGAAACAAATCCCATGACCGTATTTTCAAGACAAAGAAATGAGGCTAGAGGAGGTGTGTGAGGCTCCAGGATCTTACACAGCATGCAGTGTAGGAGACAGAGTTCCAGCAGCAGCCACTGATATAGTGAGGTCACACAGATTACCCAATGATACAATGAGGTCACACAGATTAGCCAATGACTTGACCTCCCACCACTTTCTGCAGGTCTCACGAGCAAGCATTGGATTATCTTATACTCACAAGGAATGTCCCGATATCCAATCTCCAAAGCATGAAAGTAATTCATAAATTCCCTAACCGGGATTTTAAAGGCTTCAAAAAGGCCCATGTCTTCAAACAGTCTGTATGATACCTGAAAAGGGGGAGACAAGACCTTGTAAGATACCACTCATTATGCGAGAGATGGTAAAGAGTAAGAGTGTGCATCTATCAACTACAATTGATATGCCCCCAGTAGAGATATTTCTATTGGTAATAGTAAACACACTGAAGACATCTGTATACTGTCAATGGAGTTCCTTACCATAGAGACTATGTCATCTGTATTTAAGATAATTATTGCACATAAAGCCCACCCGAAAAAAAAAACAAGAAAACCCACAGTATAACTAAGAACAATGCACTGAGATTTTAAATTGGATGATTACTGAACACTTTAAGGTAATACACACATGCTAAGCCAGGCCTGGCATCTGCCACCTGCAATCCCAGCACTTGGGAGGATGTGTCAGTAAGATTGTCATGGCTTTGACTTCAATTCTAGACACAGAGTTCTTCCTACTATTCTCATGATTATTGTCTTAGCCAATATTTGAGTTCTTTCATATAAGCACTAAGGGAGTTAACAATGCATGCTGCATCAATAATAATTACAGTAACAATGGCAACGGTGTGCATACACACAGCACCAAAAGAGACCAGTACTCTAGTCAGTCAGCACATACTAATTATTTATAAATAGTTCTCAGAGTACATTTTGAGACTGGTACTATGAGTTCCCAACATCTGATGGCAGAGGATGCTGAAAACACAGAGGTTGAGCAGCTTGCAGACGATCACCCAGTTGGTAAGGAACTGTACATGTCAGTCTTGGAGTTTGTAGTCTTAACTGCTTGATATTGATATCAAAGATCTATCATCAAAATCAACCACCTAGTATTTCACACACAGTCACTACAAATTCAAGAAGAAAGGATCATGAATTGAGCAAACTGTATTCACTGAAAAGAGTAATTATAACTTTAAAATCTGAAGGCTGGATAGAAGGGTTAGTGGTTAAAAGCACTGGATGCTCTTACAGAGGACCAAGGATCAATATCACAATAACACAATATCACCACATCAACTCCTAGCACCCATGGTATCTCATAACCATCTGAAACTTTAGTTCTAGGAAATTTAATGCCCTCTCTGGCCTCCACAGGCACCAGGCATGCATGTGGGGCACAGACATACATGCAGGAAAAATACAAATATACATTAATAAAATAAGATAAATTACTTTTTGCTAAAAAGATAACATGTAAAATATTCAGATTCAAAGAATTCAGGAAGGCCAGGAGCTGAGGCCTCTGCACATATGGTGCTTCAAAAACCTGTTTGATGTGAAACTTGGCCCTGTGGTGTCTCAGACAAAAGGTGATTCTTGGTCTGCCCATGCTAATTAATTTCAGCTATCCTAACATCTCACTAAAAGTGGTGTGAAAGTCAGGGTGGGGGCCAGGGGGACGTTTCCATAATCAGAACTTTGTGACTCATAAACTCAAAGGCAGAGTCTCAGAGAGAGCTACTTAGCACGGCAATTGAAACTGTGTTCCCTCGGAAGCTCTATGCTCCGTGATTGATTAAGGTGAAAGGGATAGAGAGGGATATAAGAGCATGTCTTGGTGGATGACTTGTACACGGACATACAAAAGATAAGTGGGTGAGCTTTGAGATTTGTTATTTATCCTAAATATTTCTAATGTCTACTGGTATCCATGACTCAGACAGATGGCACAGCTGAGAGTGTTGCTCACTGGTAGAGCCCATGCTCAGCCCAATGGATTCAATCTCTAGCAAGACAACAATAAAAAAGGTTACTCATACCCTTACCTTTGAGACCACTGAGGGACACCAGAAATTTGCAGTAGCATTTGCTCTATTGTCCATGTACTGAAAAGCTAAGCCACCAAGGTCACCGTGCTATGTGGTTACACTCTCTGTTTGGAGGGTTGGATGACGCTACAGGTGAATGTGTTTTATGGGTTGCAGGGATGTAGCAGACTGAAAAGGACCTGGACTTCTGAGAAGGCTATCTCATGAAGTCTAATGTTTACTCAATGCTTTACCAAAAAAAAAATGAAGAAAAAGAAAGCAAAAAAAGCATATTCTTTCAAGCCTAAGTTTCTTCTGTAACACGGATATTAAAACAAATAAACAAACAAAACTCCTATACCAAGCTGGTGTGGTGACATAAAATTATAATCCCAGCCCTTGGGAGGTGGAGACAGGAGGACCAAGAGTTCCATGTGACATAGCCTGCTTGACAGCAGCCTGGGATATATAAGACCTTGTCTCAAAACAAAAACAAAACAAAACAAAAACCCACAAGCCAGCCAACCAACCACTGCCATGACCACCAGCAATAAAAAACCTATAGTTACCATGGAGATTAGAGACAAGCAAGCATGTGTGGTGTATGGAATCTGAAACCCCAGAACTCTGAGGCTGAGGCAAGAAGACTGTCATGAGTTTGAGGCTAGCTGGAGCTAGCTATATTGGGAGTTTCAGGTAGGCCAGCCAGTGCTACAGTGTGACACTGTCTTTGAGAGAGAAAGAGAGAGAGAGAGAGAGAGAGAGAGAGAGAGAGAGAGAGAGAGAGAGAGAGAGAGAGAGAGAGAGAGAGAGAAGAGTCTGTGGGAACCTGTACCATGCGTCAAGGGCAAAAGTGTATGAGAATTCTCTCATTCTCCCTGTATACATCACACACAATCCCTGGTAGAAAGGAATGATCCTGCATGGACCACAGCTACATTTTGTGGCATAATACATTACGTGCCTGGTTCTCTCTAGGTGTCACACTTTGCAATTGGATTCAAACACTCCTAGGAGGAAAAACAAATTCCAACACGAAGGCAAATGGGATACAGTGGCTGCCTTGAACTTGCTAAGATCAGTGAGCTTTGCAGACAGCTTGGCACTAAGGGCTCAGGAAGAGATGAATGGAACTGTCGACTCCCCATAAACATGGCTGCCTGCCACTGTATCATGGTCATGGCCAGAATGAGTCTAGCAGAGGAACAATGACATATTATACAGATGGTAATTAGCTTCTGCTTCATAGCTCATCATCTAAGTTGATCCATCATTTGTTTGAAACAGATTTCTTTCTCAACTTGATTGATAATTTCTTTAGGGGAAAGGTCTTTTCTTGAAGACCAGATGAATTATCTGGGTCTGTGTATTTAACACTAAAAGTAGGAGCACCAGTTTCCCATTCAAATCCTGTGAACTGTATGTTCCCCAAGATGTTTCATACTCAGGCTCTTGAACAGCAGCTGGGGACAGCCAGTCTTAGGTTAGAGAAGAACCAGTGTTCCACAAATTTCTAGTATTTGGCAGAAAAGTTATTAGTGGCCCTCATCAATGTGGGCTGGGTCTTGATCCCACTGAAAGCATTTTTGGTGTGTTGCTTTGCAATTTTTGAGGTAGAGATTCACAGAGCCAAGGGTGATCTCGGATTCACCAAAGTCAGAAGTCTTCAGGGGTGCTGTGATATTACTCATATTTTAAATACATATTGATATACCACAATACCACCCCTTGGACTATAAATATAATTTTTAGTTATTTACTTTAATTTTATGTGTATAAGTACTTGCCTACATGTATACATGTGCACTATGTGCCTAGAGAGTGCAGAAGAGGACACCAGATCCCTGGAACTGGAGTTCCAGATCGTTATGAGTTACCGTGTGGGTGCTGGGATCTAAACTCAGGTCCTCTGCAAGAATAGTAACTGCTCTTAACAGGTGCACCATCTCCACAGCCCTGGATCATGCATAGTTTGATGGCTCTTTTATAACACAATCAATCATCACTTAGCTTCAATTTTTCAAACAAGTATATTTAAGCACCTAATTTCTATATGTTTTCCTTCCACTTCCACCAAACAATCAGCCCTATAACAGGGAAGCCTCGAGACAGTGTCTCTTACAGAGACAAGACCTAAGACATTTGTCATGCACCTGGCAACTCACTCTGCATTTCCATTAGAGAGATTGTTTTGATTTTCCAATACACGAAATTCTGATGTTTCCCAAGCCAGTGGGGGAGATACATATTTCTGCACAGTACCTTATTTTTCATGAAACCTAAGCACTATGATATTCAGAAGTTAAAACAATAGTCAGGAGATATAATTATAGGGATGGATTCATCATTAACAGGAGTTTCCTTTCTAAGGCCAGGCCAGCTTCTCTTTGGCTCAATTCTATGAATTTTGGTCACTTGTCCATCTTGCTGATCTATTCCTGCCTCTGCCTCTGTTGCCTTAAAAATTACATACTATCTTAATTGTAGACTGCAATACTCAAATGAAATTCCAGTTGTCTTTTGGTCAGCACACAGCCATAGAACCTACCACATGTTCTCTGATAAAATTTCACTTCTTTCTGCATGCCTGCCCACAGGTGTTGGGAATGTACAGATTGGCGACCAATGGACTGTTTCCTTCTGTGTTTCAAGTCATCCGCTTGAATACATTTCTTACCTGGCTCAGAATACGGCCACATTTTCTTCCTATATTTTCCACTAAATCAAAAATTGGAAAATTCCAGGTGTTTAACTGATCCATAATTGAGTCCAGGTTATCCATGACTAGGGGTTCAGGAGCAAGAATTGGTTTGTCCTGTAATAGAGATGAAGATATTGAACCACATATAGTTTTTCTATTAAAAAAATCATCATTTTGGTAAATTCAATAACTAACTGTAGCTCTCAGAAATAAATGACTTAAAAGTCCATGAATCTTAAAATCAGTAAACAAACAAACAAACAAAACAAAGGAAGAAAACATGAGCCTGGAGTAGAGAAGCCAGCACTGAGCACAGTTCGACTGATTTTACATAGTCTGATGCCTGCTTGCCCCTTTTCACACACAGCCCAGCCTGAGAGATGTTTCTCCCAGATGTCAGCTTTACTACTTTTGTGTCAATCTGCAAGATTCTTTAATGCAGACTGAAGAACCTCAGAAAACTCTGATGCTTTCTCTAAGCCTCCTTCTTTCTATACTTCAGTAAACGTGTCTGAGAAGTGAACCTGGCTTATGTTGGACCCTTGACAGAAATGCATGAGGTGGATGAAGGCTTCACCTCTCCACTTTAATTGCATTTATATCTGAGCTGTTCAGATCAGCATTATTCCTGGAGAATGACAGCTGCCACATCTTTCAGGAATGTAATTTTATCCCTGAGACCTGCTCTCCACTAAACAACTTGCTCTATGTAAATGTAAGGGCAATCAGTGTACAAAGCATTTTAAATCAGGATACTCATATTTTCTCACCACCACAACTATTTTAAAAAGTAAAAAAATAAAGAGAATAAGCCATTAAAAATTTTGCCTGAACAGCTAATTTGAAGGTACAAGTAGCAAAAACATGGTTAAAAAAATGCTAAGGACAGCAGCTGGTGATTATGGGCACGTCAGCTGCTCCCTGTCCTTGGCAGCCATGCTTAACCTCACTCAAATGTGCACCCATGAGTGTCTTTATACCAGATAAGTCATCATCAAAGGACCTTTTAGAATCAGTACAAACCTGATCTAATACAACAAGGAAAACAAATACTGGTTCACTTACTAATCAAGGGGGTATCAAAGCTAAACCAGAAGATGCCCTAAGAAAATTAGTCAACCAATCAATCTGTCTTTCTAAACTATTAGTCTAATATTATATTACCATTTAATATTATTAGTTTATTAATTTTTCCTTATTTACAGTTTTTTTTATTGCACTGTTTGTATTCATATGTAAAGATGAATACTTGGTGCTGGGGAAATGGCTCTGTTGGTGAAAAGCTTGCCATGCAAGCATGAAAGATGAGTTTTATCCATGAAACCTATCTACAAAAAATCAGTATGATTGATGGTGGTCACTTGTAATGTCAAAGCTGGGGACACAGAGAAAGGTGGTTCCTAGGGCTCATTGGCCAGCCATCCAAGCCCACTTGTTGAGCTCCAACCAACGAGAAATCTTGTCTCAAAATAAGGCAGATGGAACTTGAGTAAGATCACCTAAAGTTGTTGTCTGGACTTCCCATGTGTGCTTTCCTACATATGCACCTGCAGACAAACACACACACACACACACACACACACACACACACACACACACACACACACACACACACACACACTCTTAAACTTTTCATTACCAAATTTTAAAAAAATCAAGAAGAAACCAATATGATCAGAGAGAGGAAGATTGTAACAATACACCTAAAGGATACAGACACATGGATCCAAATGGATGCAGCTATAAACCTAAGACAACAGAATCTACCCCTAAGCCAGTCTCTGCCACAGAAGCAAGTTTTCATGGAAACGAATGAGTTTAGTGATGTGGGGCTACCAGGAAGATCATGGTCTGGGAAGTATAGGTGCCACAAGCCGATGCTTTCCTCAGTGGCTCTCTCTGGCACTCGGCCTCCTCTTCATTCTGCAAAATGTCACTGCTGTCACTGTTGTTGTTGGTCTCATAATCGGAGGTAACTTGGAAAGTGTCATCTGCAATTGAAAGAGAATAGTCTGTTTTTAAGAGACCTATGATGAGGAAGGGGACACAAGCAAGTAAGTGCTCCTGAAACACATCCGCATATTATGAAGTATTTAGAAAGACTGCTTTCATATATCTACACATCAAAAACAGAATAATAGGGAGGGAAATATATTTTCAAGGTTTATTTTCATTTTGACTATGTGCATGTATGTCTGCATGCACATGATTTATATGCCTGTGGAGGCCAGTTGAAGGTGTTAGATCCCTTGGAACTGGAGTTATAGGCAGCTGACTATAAGCTACCCAACATGGGTGCTAGGAACAGAACTCAGGTTTTCTGGAAAAGCAATTCCTACCTTTGTGCAATCTCTCCAGTCTCCAAAATACATTTCTAATCCTAACAAATAGGTGGGAATTAAGATGTGTGATTTATGTGACAGTCAATGATCCCCCAATTAATTCTATAAGTTCACATTTTTTTCTCCCTGTTCTTTCTCTCTTTTTTCCCTTCCTTTCTTCCTTTCCTTCCATCCTGGTAGTGGGGATCAAACCTGGGGCTTTATACATGGTATCAAGAACTCTACCACTAAGCTACATCCCCTAGTTGGATTTAAATTTCTATTTCCTCTATTCTTCTACTGCATTAAGCCAGGAAACAGTTGACTACACACTAATTAAGGGCATATGTGATGGGAATAATCATGTGGATACACACAGGAAGGAGTGGTCTGTAGAGCATGAAGCAATGGCTCATACTTGTGAGTGGACAGATCTTATGTGTATGTCCCAGGTCCTTGGGAGTCTGGGCTTCCTCCTTCTTTTCTTTCCTCCACTATCTCTCCTTCCAGTCAGCAACTATTAGCTGAAAATCCAACCAGAAAATACAAGTGTCTAAAGAACATGCTTCCAAACAGTCATCAGGAAGAATGAAATATTTGTAACATTATCTCAGGACCCTCTTTTCTTCCATCTTTCTAATACAATTACTTGCCGGATAAACTTAGGAACAAAGGGCAGAATAAAAACATAACTGATCAATTAAAACTCCTGATCTATGGAGAAAAGGAGAAGCCCCAATGGAGATCCATGTCACTGTGAGAACCCATGAAGGTGATCTGTACACTGAAGGACTATGGCACTTCGAGAGCCCAGGAAGGTGACCTAGCCTGATGCCCTCATCCTGTTAGCCCTGGGAGACTTGGAGAAGCATCCTGTCTTCAATAAGCTACACAATAACCACACAGATAATTTTCCTTTGACTTCTCCTGGCCCTTTGCATATTGCTACACAAGATTCTCATAGAAAAAAATGTCAACAAATTCTATTTGAGGGTATCTACTAAGAAATGTTGATAGGGATACATAATTATTCCTGATGGTGCCATGACCTTAAAGTCTACACTTCATAGATGCTTTGATTTCTACATTGTATACTTTCAGCACAGTACAAATAAGCCCATAGAGCTATGCCAACAAAAATAATTATTACAGCAACATCACAAGCAGTAGCTACTTACAGTGACCCCATAATCCAATGAGAAATAAATAATTCTGTGTGTTCAATATATGTGGTGTCCAAAGAGGCCACAAGAAAGCATCAGATTTCTGCAGCTAGAGTTACACATGGTTGTTGAACCACCAGATGTGGGTGCTAGGAATCAAACTCAGGTCCTCTGGAAGGGCAGTCTATGCTCAAAACTTCCAAATCATCTCTTCATCCCCCCACATGTTGTATTTAATCTTTACAGTGATTTTATGTAGTGGATACTACTGCTATTCTGCCATTTTGCAAGTGAAAGGACTAAGGTGCAGAAATTTAGATGACACGTGAGTGGGGAACAGAAAGAGGGGTGATCCAGGTTATAGCACCTTAACCTGGATCTTAACTTCAGGATACTGCCTCAAGGAAAAGCCATATCATTGTGAACAGTATAATCAGGGTCATACTTTAGCTTTGGGGTTAGTGATCTCATAAACACATGCTAGGATAGGCAACCCTCTAATGAACAAGGCATCAAGATGAACCACCATGTATAGTATAGCATGTAGCATACAGTGCTGTACATTATATAAAGGGGGCTCTGACTTTAAAATAATATACATTTGTGTCCAAGTACAAAAATGCCTGGGAGAATCCACCTTTAAAATTTGCTATGAATTAAATTTAGATAGTGTTTTGAGGATGATTTTTATTTCCTTGTTGGTCTTTTTAAGTTTACATTTAATTTAAATTAGCTGGAGAGATGGCTCAGTGGTTCAGATCAATTGCTGCTGCTATAGAGGAAGTTCAGTTTCCAGCACCCACATAAGGAGGCTCACAATTCATAATTCAACTCCAGCTACAGAGATCTGATGCCCAGTTCTGGCCTACATGGGTACTACACTCATGTGCATAAACACACATACACACACATACACATACACACACACACACACACACACACACACACACTTCATAAAGTTAAAATTCACAAATTTGAAAAAAAAAAGCCAGGAATTCAAGTTGCCTTTTTTTCAGGAGGAAAATATAAAATAAAATATGTTGAATTTTGAACAACAGAATACTAAAAAGTGTATTACCTGTTCTGTTTGGTTTCTGAATGGCTGAGCCACTTCTCTCTGAAGGTCCATCAGGAGGATTCCCTTGTGAATAAGGTCTGCCACAGCTGAGAAGTGTTGAGAAGGCATAAGTACCTCTGTACATTTTAAAACACTATTAAACACACAGTATCTTCATAAACATCAACCATTCCTTGCCTTGGTCTTTCACTGTTATAACCAAACCCCTGAGATACTTGAGGGAAAAAAGACTTATGTTGGCTCATGGTTCAGGGGTGCCAGTCCACAGTCAGGATCTCCACTGTTTTGAACCAGAACTGAGACAACACATCAGGGCAGTGACAAAGTGTGAGCTACATCATGGCTCACAGAAAGCAAGGGAGAGCTAGGGAGAGGCCAGGGTCAAGGAATACTCTTCAAAGCACAACCCTAGGGACCTACTTCCTCTAATGAGGCTCCCATACTGTGCTTCCAGCATCTCCCAATAATATGCCTAGTTATAAGGGTATCAATAGCCTCACCCATTGATTAAGTCAGGGTTGTCTAGCTCTAGCCATTTTCCAGGAGCCTCCATGTTTCATATCAAAATCACACAACACATATAATAAAATATCATAGTCTTCTACTGGTGCGTCTAGGAGGGCAATTCACTTTGTATTACACGCAGTTGCTGATAGGTGGTCTTCTTTGGTGAGTACCGATCAGCAAATGGACTTTAAACTCCATCTGACTCTCTTCCTCCTCCTCAGTCCCCATATTTACATTGAAATGCTGCTAAAGTTGTTAAATTATTTGGAAAATACTGGAATAACTGCCATTTATCTGTGAAGTGGTTCTGAAGGTCCTGGCACATGTCTGGCTATGATTATCTTTTCCAGTGGGACACCTTTAGAGCCTCATTGCTCCTTTCACTTCTTGGAGCTAGGATGCTAAATTTCTAATCAGATTTTTAATAAAAGACAACAAATGTTAAAACAGAATGATAGGATATTCATTTTATTTTTTCCCAAAATAAGTGTCTTTATTTAAAGCAAATTTTTACATTCATCCTTTAAGGTCTTAAGGAAATGAACAAAGGAGATGGACATTGTGAAAAAAAGTGAATGACTGATTGTACACACTAATGTTTGAAAAAAAAAAAAAAGAGCCAACATGATCTGTGGACAACCAAGATGATGGAAGTTTCCAGAGAAGCAAATGGTAGCCCATCCCAGAGATAATAGGGGATAATAGGAGAATCTTTTTGCTTTATTTTCTCAACAACTTGACTATTTTACAAGTCAAAAGGTAATCACACAAACCCTACTGAGATCCAAACTGGCCCCTCCTTTATTATTTTGTTTAGCTACTTCATGATTAGATTTTAATCTCCTATTTTGTGGCTGGACTCTTTTCTTCCAAATAATATAAAAGATCTCAGGAGAACTTTTTGGTCTCATAATTACTTAACTACAAGATGACCCAGCATAAAGGGAAAGAAATTAGTTTAATATCTAATGTTTAACATCTAAATGTCGCATCATTTTCTTAACTGTACATGCAGCAAAATATTTCCCAGTTACAGTATACCATCATACTAAGTAAATTTAGTTTTCAACTCTGAAATATAAACAGAAAAGCATTATACGGGATTTATTTCTAATGAGGAAAACCCATCATTTTGTCTTAGGGGATAAGAAGAAAAGAAATAAAAAGCGTACGCTAACTTAGGACTTCTAATCTTGTGTGAAAGCTTATTAGTGTGAAGATTTTTCATTGCCTGACAATACCTAAAAGGACTATTTAAGTTACTAGTTCAAATAGAGCAGCTCCTGTCTCCCCCCCCCATATAAATAAATAAATAAATAAATAAATAAATAAATAAATAAATAAATAAATAGCTTGTTGCAAAGGCATTACAACAGCCAAGAGACTAGGTTCAATTCCAAGCCCTTTGAGTTCAGCAGGGGAAACCACAATAGTTAGTTGTGTGTTTCTGGAGCAGTCTGTGACTACATGGGTGGCTTCCTTGAAGGGAATTATAAAACCTGGTTTGAATTATAGGTTTATAAAGTCCAAACAAATAAAATGCACACTACTGGATTTCTAAAATCAACTGAACAAGGAGCAGAGAAATCCTCTTGGTTTTGTTTGTTTGTTTGTTTGTTTGTTTTTTCCTTCATTCTCTTTATGAAAACTCTGTGACATTCTCCCCTCTAAAAACAAGCAAGAAAATCTTGTTGGAGAGAGCTGGGCAAGCCATAGAGCTTTCCTGAACACCCCTAGCTTTCTTTCAAATGGTTATTTCTCATAAGTCTTGAGGGAGGGAGAGCCCCTTGGAAAAGCCAGAAGCAGATGTTCTTAATGCGAATCACTCTGGGAGCCTTTATCCTGGCTCAGGATACAGAACAAAGAACAATGCTTCCCTCAGCAAGCCTGTTGAATGTCAGATGCATGAACAATTACAGGGTGTTAACCTAAGGGAATTGGCTCTGGGGTCCAGAGAACTCAGAGAACTCGACATGAAACAGACCAAGAACTCCTCTGAGCTCTTGGCACGGTAAGTGTGATGTAGCATGTCTCAGACCGACTACACAACAGCTCTAGGAAGGTGGCTGTGTTGGGTGGAAAGCCCACAGAACTCATTTTCACTTAGAAAGCTAGCATGGTACTAGAATAACATTTTGCTCTGGTCTTTGCCCAATAATCAAGGTTGGGCATTTTTTCCACTTAAAAATAGTCGTAGAGAGAAAGAAAGTAAAAATAAAGATGATAAAATAAGCGACGTTTATTTGTCTTAGGCAGTAAAGTTTGGATGGGGAGAGATCTCCAGGTGTTATGACTTCAAGTCTTGCTCAATAGTCTGTGGTGCTGTTTAGAGCTGGGAGATCCTTTAAAAGGTGGGTCCTATAGGGAAGAACATAGGCCATGGGGGACTCAAATGGATATTGGGACCTGCAACCTTTCTTCTTTCTGTCTTCAGTTTTCTCAACAACAAAGCATCCTCAGTTGGATTCTGCTTTGCCATAGGCCCCAAAACAAGAGGATCAAGGAACCACTCAAGCTGTAAGTAGAAGTAGACCATTTATTTCTTCTTGATCTCGGGTATCCTGCCACAGTGATGACACAGGGAGTTTATAGACAAGCTACAAGCAAATGAAATGTGTGAGGCTTAGTATCCATTGTTAGATACTAAATGGAGTGTGTTAATAAACATGAGACACAAGAAAGCTTCAGGCTTCCAATGCATTCACATAGTCATCTCCATTATCTGCAGACAATAACATTCTGTTTAAGGCATTCTTAGGACTATGCTTAAAACACATGCCTCTCTTCTACTTCAAAATACTTAATACTAGGGAATGGAGAGATGGCTCAGTGGTTAAGAGCACAAGCTGTTCTTCCAGAAGATCTGTATTTGATTTCCAGCACCCACATGGTAGTTCACAACCATCTGTAACGCCAGTCCCAGTTAGTCTCCTAGGGTACTACATACACATACATGCAGGCAAAATACCCATATACATAAAAATATGTAAATCTTTAAAAATATTTAGTACTTTAAGATAAAGTATCCAAAATGAAGATATGACTGGAGAACAACAAAAATATGCAGTAATTGGAGGTATTTCCTATTTATGGACAATGTTGATGAAAAATAATCACTTCAGGCACATTAAGATCTTCTTTAATCCTCCACTGATAATGCATGGTAAGTCAGTTTTTTATTTTTTCTCCTTCCCTCCCTCCTCCTCCCTCTGTCCTTCCCTCCATTCCTTTTTGAGAATTGGTTTCCTAGGCTATAGCCCAGGCTGGCTTCAAACTCACTGTGTAGTTCAAGCTTCTTTGACCGCCCAGCTATCCTCCTGAGTGCTAGGGTTACAAGCATTCATCCCTATGATCAGCTTGTATTTGTTTCATTGCAATGTAAAAAGAAACCATTTGCTTAATTTCATTCAGGGAACCGTGTGAGTCAAGCCATAATGCATTATGTGCCAGGAACCCAGCTAAGGTCCTCTGTAAGAGTAGCCACCTAACATGGGTCTCAGGAACCCCGCAGAGGTCCTCTGTAAGAGTAGCAAGCATTCTTAACCCCTGAACCATGTCTCCAGTCCATAAAACACATTTTATCCATAACCTACTAGTATATAACCAAATATATACAGCTAATTATTTTGTACTCTCTCCAAAGATCTGTTCAGACTGAATGGAAAATGAAGTTTCTATTTATAGAGAGCCATGGAAAAATTAAGTTCCTATTACAGTCTCAAACATAACATCACACTATCCTATAGTTTCCTGTTACCAGTAAAAAGGTCTTACCTGCTACATATGACAGGTGGAGGCAGGATCTGAGGGGACAGGTCAGGGGCACTTTGGGTGTAAGTTAAGGCCCTGTGAGATCCAGGGCCTCGCTTGGCAGTTATTTCAGAGGATTCTGGAAACTGTGCTGAAGTAATATTGCCAACAGGACTACTGGCAGGCGATCCTTGAGGAGGCGAGGAGGAGGGAGAGGGTGCAGGTGAAATTTTAGCAAGGCCACCTGAAAGAGAATGAAAGCTATGATGTCATTCAACAAACACACCTGAAATGCAAACATGTGACCCCTTCCTGTTACCATCACCCTGAATACATATAATCAGTAGCCACCAATATCATGCTCGGCCCCAGATCTGGTCTTATCTTTATGCCACCATCCAGAGATGGGATATGTGCCTGGACTGTCTCCATGGCATGAAAATATGACCAGTAAATCATTCTGAGAAATTGGTGGCAGGGCCAGCATAGCCGCTGAAGCCACAGTGGCCTTAAGCCACCCCAAGGCAGAAGGATATTATTTTCTTCTCCCATTTTTGTTTCTCTCTTGTCATCCTGACTGAGAATAACAATTACAATTGTCTCATGTATCTGAAAAAATACCAGCTGGAACAAAACTCACTACATTTTAAAAGAAATACATTTTTTTTAAACATGCGTGTGTGTTTGCCTGCATAACGTTATGTGCACAGCATGTGTGCAGGAACCTACTGAGGCCAGAAGATGGCACTAGATACCATGGAACTGGAGTTCTCTAAGTGATTGTGAATCACCATGTGTGTGTCGGGAATCAAACCCAGGTCCTCTACAAGAGCAGCCTGTGCTCTTAAATCATTGAGCCATTTCTCCAGCCCCACCATTGCTTTAAAGTTCAGAGCACACAGTGGCGGTTATAGAATGCTTAAAATGTGCAAGTGAAAATGATAATTTGGGGGAGGCAATTAGACTTCTTAACTATTCACACATTCAGTGAACTGTACATTTCCTTGTGAAAATGCACTCCAAGAAAAGTAAATTTGAAGCGAACATTAAAACATGTGCTACATCCAGTACAAACTACACAGTAGGCCTAAAGCTTAAACTTCAAAATTGGGTACTTATGCCAGGCTCCCCATGTTTACATTTATGCTACAGTGTGAGTCTGTCTAGGGCACTGGAGTAGGTTTCTAGACCTCTCACTCTGTAAGATAAGGCTAATGTCTTCTGAAGTTGCTTCCTCCCAAATACAGAGAAGGCAGAGTGCAAGTAAAATTGGGGGGAGGGGGAGAAAGACAAATGACTTTCAAGTCATTCATCGGTCTCTGCTTATCCCCCCTCGGGGAAACTGATAGCCCCAGATTTCACATTCATAGCTAGTGTGTGTAGCTAATGGGCAGCTGGTTCAAGGTGGCCTTGTGTCAAAAATTCAGTTCCTTTAAAAGTTTGACTTTTCCCAGTGCAAAGTTTTCTGCCCCATAGAGTGGAATATTATAACTTGTAGAAGGGTTTCCTTGGTGTCCTTTTGATGCTTTTGTTAGGTTCCCAGCATGGTGGACAACCTCCCTCCTGAGCCCCTTGCAGCATATTTCTGTGTTGCTCCCTAACCAGCAGAACAATCCCTCGTATTTGTACCTAACAGATGCCCAGAGAGAGTAACTAAACATGTTGCCAGGGTTAGGAAGAGCTAGTGAGAAGGAGAACATGGGGATGAGGTAGGCACTGGTCAATTTGGGCTTTTTAAAAATTAATTAATTTTAAATACTGCTCACAGTTTCCCTTCCCTTCTCTTCTCCCAGCCCCTCCTCCTCTCTGCCCCCGCCCTCCCTGCCCCACCTTATCCTCTGTTTATATTCAGGAAAGGGCAGGCCTCCCATGGATATTGAGAAAACATGGCATATCAAATTGCAGTAAGACACCTCCCCATGTATTAAGACTGGGCAAGGGAACCCATTATGGAGAATAGGTTCCCCAATGCTGACAAAAGAGTCAGAGGCAGCCCCTGCTCCCACTGTTAGGAATCCCATCAGAAGACCAAGCTACACAACTGCCAGATACAAGAAAAGGGCCTAGTTCAGTCCCATGCAGCCTCCCTGGTTGTCAATTCAGACTCTGTAAGCTTCTGTAAGCCCAGGTTAGTTGATTCTATGGATTTTCTTGTGGTGTCCTTGACCCCTCTGGCTCCTATAATCCTTCCTCCTCATCTTCCATAGGGTTCCCCAAGCTCCGCCTAAAGTTTGGCTGTGGGTCTGCATCTGTTTCCATCAATTGTTGGATGAAGTCTCTCTGATGACTATTGGACTAGGCACCAATCAATAACTTAGAGCAGAATATCATTAGACATCAATACACTGACATTTTTTTCTCCAGTCATGTTTGGTTCTATCCTAGGTCTCTGGGCCAGAAACCTGATGGGTTTTAAAGACTGGTTGTGCTTTAAAAATGAGCCTATATATCAGCATTGCTGTACGTACTGGCTCCATCATTTTGATGGCAAATTGCGAGATTTGGGGCTACCTTTTTACTATTCTTGTTATATATATATATATATATGTGTGTGTGTGTGTGTGTGTGTGTGTGTGTGTATGTGTGTGTGTGCGCATGTGCGCGTATGTGCATGATTGTATGAGGGTATGGAGGTAAGTATGATCTTCACTGTCTTCACCAATGGTTTTTCACCTTGATTATGGGGACAGAGTCTCTCACTGAACCTGGAGCTTACTGATACTCCTAGACTGGTCACCATCCATCCCCAGGGATCCTCCTGTCCCTTCCTCAAGGGATGCCAGGCTTGCCTCAGCCTGGCTTGGCTGTTTACATGGATGATGAGGATTGAACTCAGTCTTGAGTCACGCACTTTCCCAACTGAGCTGTCTCCCCTCAGCACCCCCCTCGTTAAGTCTTTTTATTTTTTTAAAACAGACCATTAATTCAAAGCACGTTGAGAAACTTCTCCATTTCTATCTGGACACAAATGTGTTTTTGAGGGCAATTTATGAGAAGACTGATTTTGTTTTAGTAGCTGAGAGCTGATAGCTGTAGAGACACAGGGGTTCATTCTTAAATACACATTTTAAAATCCGTACAGCCATTAGCGTTCTTGGAACTCAGTGATTAACTAAATTTAAACTAATAAGCAGACTTTAAGGCTCCTGGGATGAACTCTTAAATAAATGTGCAGCAGAGAAGCACTTTGCTTTTATGGTTCTTTGCTCTATATATTTTGAACTCTTTAACAAGCACCAGGTCTCTGCATTAACAGTGAGAAGCAGAGATTGAGGGTGCAGGGTGCAGGAGAAGATGAAAGTGTAACGTTTACTGCAAGTTAAAAAAAAAGAAAGAAACACAAAGGATGGTGTGGTGAGAGGACACACATTTCCATACACCAGCCTTCAGACAGATGGAGAGATAAATGATTAATGCAGATACAGGCAGAGTATACTTTAATGCTTGAGTGGGAAGAATTTTAGATTTCTGAGTTGCGTGGATTTGGGAATATTCACACCAACTTCAATAGCTGAGCATCTCTAATGAAAATTTGGCAATCCAAAATGTTCCGACTTGGATTATCAGATTAGGATTGTTCCATATGTAATCACCAAATACCATTTCACTTCAGAAAGGAGGGAATAAAGTATCGTAGGTATAGAAAAGGGATTTCCCTAGGCAAATTAGAAATAAATTTCTTTGCAAGGTAGAAAGATAGAAAGGAAGGGAGGGAGAGAGGGAAGGAGGGATGGAGGGAAGGACAGAGAGAAGGAGAGAGTGAGAGTGAGAGAGAGAGAGAGAGAGAGAGAGAGAGAGAGAGAGAGAGAGAGAGAGAGAGAGAGAGAAATTCTAAGATCCTTTAAGGGTCTTCAATCTAAGTTTAGAGGGAAGATATCTAATTTTGTGTTACACACACACACACACACACACACACACACACACTGGATGAGTTAAACATGCATACTTTTTTATATATTTATCTTCATTTTATAATTGAGTAATTTTAAGAGACTCCAGGAACAAGACACAGATCATGAAATACAAATTCCTCATATTAAATTATCCTAATATGAAACATTTAAAAATACTGATAGGCAACAAACAAATAATACAACTTTTGAAGAGTCTGAAATTCTGACTCATTTGAGTAACCTAGACTTTGTTTCCTTGTTCCCTTGTTCCTAAGAGCCTGAGAAAATGTGCTTCAAGGCAGAGGGAACCAGAGGGGAAGATGAGGAATACTGCCTAGGAATTCTTGAAGTAAATTGATTTGCATTGCAGTAATAAAGTCTCCCAGTTTAACTTTAACTGGGCAAGAAGAAACTAGGCTGAAGAGGTGGTTCAGCAGTTAACAGCACTTGCTGTTCCTTTAGGGGACCTAAGTTAAGCTTCTAGCACCCACATCAGGAGGCTCCCAAGCAGCTGTAGCTCCAGCTTCAGGGGATCAGACATTCTTTTCTGGCCTCCTCAGAGACCTGCATAGAGGTGTACATATACACACAAACACATGAACACACATGTACATAAATAGAAACAAAATAAATAAGAAAAAAAGAAGTAAACCAGCTTTTTTTGATAAATACATGCCTCTGTACCAATGTTTTAGTAGGTAAGAACCATCATCGTGTAAAGTGTTCTCTTAAGTCTAGTTTATAAGACGTAAGGCATCTGGATTCACCATAGTAGAAAGCCCACACTTACAAGACCCTAGCAGAAGATTACCACACAGGCAGTAATTATGAATTAGAGGAATTTGGAAGCAGAATGACGTAATAGTAGCTTCCCATTTTTAGTGACTCCTACTAGAAGGGCAAGATTTAAAATTCAAGTCAGAGGCTCTAGAGATGATCAGGTGTTAGGAGTGCTACTGCTCTTCTGTAGGACCCAGATTGGTTCCCAGCACCCACATGGCAACTCACAATGATCTGTAACTTTAGTTCAAGAGGATCTGATGACCTTTACTGGCCTTTGCTGACACTGCACACATATGGTACACATATATACATAGAGGTAAACACTCATACAAGTTAAAAAATGCAAATGCAAATCATATTTAAATCTCCCATTGTTATGCTTTCATCAGAGGACTCCTGTGTGATCTGATCCATGCATTTATTTTATTTATTTGTTTGCTTATTATTTATTTATTTATTTTAGTCATTGGTAAAGATCACCTGTGTTTCAGCTATGTCAAAGGAATGCCAACTGAGGGAGCAGGGAACACGCGGCTCCCTTGGTTTGTGAACAGAACAGATCCATCAGTCTGATTTGTGCAAAGAACATCATTCTACTCTGGACACGGATAATTCAGCTTCAGTGTGTCCACTGGTCTGTACCTTGAGGCTTAGGGCTCTTACAATCCTCCTCACACCTCCTGGGACCCCATATCATTACCCTCTTTCTACAGGAAAGACTTTCCCCAGCCTCTTCACACATAGTTTACTGAAAAGCAGGTGGCAAAAGAATCAATTGCATCAAACATAGTTGGGTACTTGCTTAGCTGGGGCAGCCAAACTACATGACATCAATGCAAGGGAAATAGGGTTTCAACACTGAGGTGGAGGCTTGTAGAACACATGTGATACCATGGTAGAAAGAGACCACTGTGGGCAGAAAGATGTAAGCAAGGGGGATGGTAGAGTGAGAAAGAAGAACCTAATTGGGCAGTGGTGGCCATTGCCTTTAATCCCAGCACCTGGAAGGCAGAGGCAGGCAGATCTCTAAGTTCAATGCCAGTATGGTCTACAGAGTGAGTTCCCGGACAGCTAGGGCTACACATTGAAACTCTGTCTCAAAACAAGACAATAACAAAAATAAAAACAAAGCAAAAACAAAACAAAATATTGAGAGAGAAGAAAGGGATGAGCAATCAAAACTAAGTATGTATGAAAATCCTATAAGAAAACTTTGGCTTTGTGCTGATTTTTAAAATTACATTAGGAGAAGAGAAAGCCAATCAAATCAAATGAAAACAAACAAACAAAACCAGAAGAACCTAACTGATCAGGGAAGAAGTAGAATCTAGGGTCATTTGATTCTTAATATATTTCTCTATTTTGGCATAATTTTAGTAATTGATTTGCATTGGGCACAACTGGATAAGGATGTTATAAAGTCTTTATTCCATGATCACAGCAACCTAAGGACACCACCATACCTAGTCCCTTCAAAATAATCATGACGGGGAGACATCAAGCCCTTGCCCAGAGAAATGACAGACTGCTATGCTAGGGACTGATTTCTACCATCGCCCTTGGGGCATGTTGAGTGGACGTTCTTCTTGGGTTTAGTTAGACAGTAAGTAAGACACAGGGAGTAAGATGCAGTGGCATGAAGCTGTGCCTCCATACACTCTGTCATTTCCAGTGTGTGCCAGAGTCATAACATTCAGATTTTAAAAAAGAGATTTGATTTTAAATTATATGTATGTGGGTCTGTATGTGTGCACATGTATGTGGCATGTGTATGCACAGGTACATCCACAGGACAAAAGAGGGCATTGGATCCTTTGAAGCTGGAGTTACAGGTGACTGGTAGCCACGATCGATCGATGGATTCTGAGAACATAACTCTTATTCAATGGAAGATCAGTACGTACTCTAAATTGCTGAGTCATCTCTCCAGCTCCAGATTATATATACATATAAATTCATGTATTTATTGTGTGGCATGTCTGCCAGGACACACACGTGGCAATCAGAGAACAACTTTTGGGCATCTGTTCTGTTCGGCTCTTCAGGTTTGGCAACAAATATGCTAAGCCATTTTGCAGTCCCAATTTTTAGCTTCTTGAATCTAACAGGTTGTGTTATTTAATAATCGTTATTTGGTCACTTAACTGAGGGATCACGTGTTTCCACTACCTTGTACCCAACTACAGATCCAAAGTTCCAAACAATATTAATTTATTGTCCTTGATTTTTTCTTTTTTTTTCACTCTGAAAACTTGACAAAAGAAAGAGCCAAAGATGAATCCTAGGCCTTGGACAAGTTACTTCACTTCTCTGTCTCTCAGTTTCCTCCTTTGCTCTTTGGTTCATCAGTAGCAATGGCATTAAAAGGTAACAAAAAAAAATAAACATTTATTTTTTTGTGCTTGTGATGTGTGTGTATGTGTGTAGTGTTTATTCTGTGGTGTATGTGTCCTGTGTGTACACATATGTGGTGTGTATGTGGTATGTATGTTTTATGTGCATGTGTGTGTATATGTGTGTTTGGTGTGTGTGTGTGTGTGTGTGTGTGTGTGTGTGTGTGTGTGTGTGTGTGTGGTGAGATGTGTGTACATGGACAATGTATTTGCACATATGTATGTTGAGTTCCTTGTTCATGCATATGCATGTGGAGTCCAAGAGAAGGTGTCTGTGTTTGCCTCACAGCATCTCAGCTAATCATCAGTCTCTATCATCTTGCACTGTCTGGTCCTCGTAAAGCTCAAGTCTATTTCTCAGCTCGCTGATGATGTTTACTGTACAAAACTTAAGGGATATCGCTACAGCTCATGAGACCATATATTTGTAGGAGAATCGGATTGTCTTTAATGGTTTCTTTCAAACGAACATATTTGTTTCAAATAAATGTTTCTTTCAATACAAATAAACTTGAACTCTGTGGGGAAAGTGTCTTCCTACACTGAACAAAAGAGATTTTAAGTAGATTGAGTGATGGTTTCTAGAGGACAGATCAAGTGGGAAGTGGACAGCCAGAGGAAGATGAGCAACCAGGAGTCCTTCTCTGAGTCCTATGCCTTAATGTCATGTTTGTCTTTCAAGGCATCTCTTGGAATATGGGCAATTTTCAAGTGGTTTGCAAATAAATCTCATCATTTTAAGGATGTTTGGTCTGTTTCTGCCTGTTATATGCTAATTTGTAATAAACCTATACTTGCTTCCTTAAGAACAGATATAAAGGATGAAAAGGTAGGGAGGAGGCTGGGAGAGAATGAGGAAGAGAGGGAGGGAGGAGGAAAGGGATAGAAAGAGGGAGGGGAAGAAGGAAAAGGAAAGCAAAAGAATGAGGGAGGGGGAAGGGAAGCAGGGAGGAAGGGAGAGAAGGAAGGGTTTCAAGGTCAAGGCAGAGACCCATATCAGAGGGATTAGGTTCCCAGAAGACAGCCAGAGTAGGTGAACCACAGTCCTGCCGGCCTTCCCCTCAGAGCTCTATCTCCTGCCTGTTGGCACAGAGGAGGCTGCAAATCTGAGCAGAGGACCAGCTACCACAGAGGCTGCCAGCAGAGCTTGCTGCAATGTCCTGAGGGTGATGACATGGATCTTGGAGTTCACAGCTGCTATGGCAGCCAGACTTGCATGCCCAATATCACAGTGAGAGAAGAGGGTTCTCCTTGAGCCAAACTCGAATTCTTAACTGCTGAAGACAGAAGATTCAGAAATGAAGCAGAAAGTAACTGAAAACCTCAAGAAGAAATTCTACAATGCCATGAAACAAGCATTCACCACTTGTACTTCTCAGGAGGAAGAGGTCAGAGGAACAGCCGGGGCACTGACCTGGAAGAGAAATTCAGAGACAAATGTAATAAAGTGGTGTGTGTGTGTGTGCCTGCGCGCAGGCTCACGTGTACAGACAGTGCCTAGGGAGGCTAGAAGTGGGTCTTGGATTCCCTGGAGCTGGAGTTGCAGAAGGTTGCCTGACATGAGTACTGGAAACCAAACTCCCATCCTCTCCCAGAGCAGCAAGCCCTCTTAACCACTGAGTCAACCCTCCTGCTCCAAAGACCTGGAACTCTTGATCCTCCTGCATCAACCTCCTAAATGCTGGAATCATAATTGTATCTCACTAAACCCAATTTACAGATCCCAGCAAGAACCTGGTCTTAGATTAAGTGAGGTGAATTCCCTAATTCCTTCCACTTGCCCTTAACTAAAACTTTATTGTTCATTTAATGCCACAGTTCATTACAACATCGCAATACAGAAAATGAGACTGTACACCTGGAGTGTACATTGCTTACCTGGCCTGTTTTGCTTTTTAGCTTTTACATGGTTAGCTGCAGAGATGGCATAGGATGAAGTGAAGGACCTGCTCTTGGTGAGAGTCATCGACACTGGGGTATTCCAAGAGTCGGGATTGAGAGCACTACAAAGACAGCAATTAAAGACCACAGAGAGATTACTCATCCATTACTGAGCACATCTTTCCAGAACTCAGCCACCACCTCTGCAACAGACACGCCAATCTAAGTATTTGTTCCTAGGTTGCTGCAAAAACCATTTAACTTGCAAATGACAAAATAAGCTGAGTTCCACCTCTGCTACATCTATTTGTCTCTCATCAAACACAGTCTACCAAGAGCAAAGATGTTCCCAATACATGCAATTCATAAAAATGAAACACACTCTCCTACATGTGTAGTCATGTCCCTTACAGATTTTCCAAAATCTGTCTAGAAAATTCATTGGCTGTGATGCAACTGTCCAAATAGGATCAGAGAGTGACAAAATGCTTATGACATAGTGCTCTTTGTTATACAATATTGTTGGTGAATATACACTCAATAATTAACATTTTATCAAGCTACTCAATAATGATGTCTTGCTGCAGTATTTACTCATCAAGTAGAGCATGAACAGCAGACCTGTTGCCTGCCATTTCTCTGTTGGCAACTCGGCACTGGCTTACAAAGAAAACTGTTACAGGAGCCTATAATAGTATCCAAAGATTCCTCTTTACTGGTGACACCCTGGAAAGAACGTGATAACCCAGTCATGCCCCATCGGAAAACACTCGTGATGGGCATGGTGCTAACATACGGATTTTATGATTAGGAGAGAGGTAATAGGTCCTCTTTACCTAGGAAATGCATTTATCAACATAGACTTGCTTCACCAAGTTGCTCCCTGTAAACAAATCTGGAATCAATCAATCCACAGAGGATTGGGCCTAGAGAAGATTACAGAAGCTATGTAATTAGTGGTATAGGATTCCTGGAGGTCTTCCACACCAAAATCCCTCTTTATGTACTGCTTCAAACCTTACATGTGGAAACAGAAACATTATCCATGCTAGTTCAGGAGAGAACAGATTTCAGGGAGTTCTGCTGACAACCTGGGACTGTTCCCAGTGAAAAGTGCTTGGTTTGTGTTTTGCTAGCACCTGTGTGTCCTTTCATGCACCAGTAAATCGGTGAAGGTTAAAATCTATAATTTGCAGATTGAACAGGATGTGTCCGATCTGTCTGGGTGGCATATTGTAAATAATCTTGACATTGATGGAATTATGAATCATGGATGTATAGAGTTTGTCATGTAAGACATATAATTAGTGAGGTATAATTTGGAGATGGTCCCAAAGAGCAGGAATTCTGCCTCTCCCAGCAGCCATCAATTGCCAAGAGCCCCTTAGGGATGAGACTTCATGAGCCCCTCCTCCATGAGATTTTTCTTCAATGATTATATTTTAAAAGCCTCCTTTTGCTCTTACTTTTTATAACAACTTACCACATACATGATGAAAGAGACATTTGAAGGGTGAATTAAATTTCAGCCATTGTCAAGAACATCTAAAGCCTGCAAAATGCTTGTTTCAAGGCGTTTTCAAAAATTTCATCTTTAGCCTTTCACAAATGCTTGGAATTTTGTAAATGAGATTAAAAAAAACTTTATGTATCAGATAGTCCATGATTTCCTTGTGGTGTTGGTCTCTGTTCAACCATTCTGCTTGCCTGGGTAACTGCTAAGATTGACTGTGAAAATGTTATGTAATATATATTTCTGTCTTTTCATTTCTTAGATTATTATACAGTTGGTAAATTCTTACTCATCCATGTAGTCTTTTTGAAGAACTTAGCATCATTTAATATCTTTAAAAAATATATCATTTTTTGAAGCTCAGTCAAAAACTGCCTACTTGTGTTCTTTTATAGTCAATAAAACATTTAAAAGGGGTCTGTAGAGAGGGAAAGGGCTCAGTTAAGAGAACTGGCTGCTCTTAAAGGGGACTCTGGTTTGATTCCCAGTACCAACACGGCAGTTCACAACTATATATAATTCCAGTTCCAGAGGATCCAATACCCTCTTCTGACTTCCAATGTATACTATATATATTTTGCATATATACATGCATGCAGGCAAAAGAAGTGTTTTTAAAAAACAATTAAATGTGTTTTTTATTTTATTTTTATTTTATTTTAATTTATAAAATTAAAAAGTTTATAAAATGGAATGTGATGAAGTCAGCATAAATCAATGTATGCTATTTAAATTCATTATAGTTCAGGGTCACGTCTGCATATAACTTGGTGTGAACCTCATGGTAGCTGTCAGTTGTTCAATGACCAGTGCTGGCTTACCCCTGCTTAGAACTAATGAGCAGTAAGAATTCAGATTCTGCAGAGGAAAGAGGCTGAGAGGAAGTGGCTACTCACTCTGAAGCAACAGAGGAGAAAAAAGATCTCAGCCCTCTTCACCAAAGGTCCTTTTACATCTACATCTCTCTCTGTGTAATAATTCTATCTTCAATTCTAAGTTGGCTAGGAGTGTCTTTTTATGAAGTTTATGACTTCTATTACATCTGATTCACCAAGCTCAGGGTCAGTTAAGAGATAAACTTGGAATGGCTGGGAGTATGACATCAGCCATTTCTGTCTCTCCAAGGGCTATTCTTAAAGCATCTATTTGCACTCTTCCATCTAATGTACCCCTCAACACTATATATACACACTATAGTTCTATTTTCTAAATCCTTCTTGTGGGTGGGTATGAGGCTCAGGATAACTCAGGGTCTCTTGGAGGACATGCCTATGTGGTTCACTTTCTCTGACTCTCAATCCCATGTCCTTTGCAGCAGACATTACTTTACTTTCCAGAGGGAAATTATCTACCTGCATCCAACAGCCACAGAAACTGTTGGCATGTTTGTTTCTTTATTTTGAGACAGAGTCTTGCTATGTGGCCCTGGCTGGCCTGGAAATCACAAAGTTCTGCATGTCTCTGTCTCCTGAGTGCTTCCACTACATTGGTTGTTTTTATTTCTGCTTCTAAAGTTGCTTGGATCATTAAGTCCCTGAGGAACCACAATGAAAAAAAATAGGGAAAGAAGAAATAGAAATGGGAAAAAGGAAGAAACTAAAACTCCTTATGTCAAAACCAATCAGCAACTGTAGCAATGGTTCTCCTGAATAAGAAAGGACTTCAACTTTGGTTTACGATTAAGGTCAAAACCATCACATTTAGTGATGGTACAATGCTGCTTTCATGTGCATGGTTTTCCCTTGAAGAGGTAAGCTCTCACCAGCATGAGGCTCATGACTTCATAATGATGGAACTATTGTACGACTCTCAGATTTTACATCTAACTTTCTACAGCATAGTGAAATTAAGGAGTAGCTATGCTGTGGAAAAAATATCCACAAGCATGGTATCTGTGAATACCATTAGGATGAAGGAAATGGGTGGTACATGCTAGTTCATATCTGTGTGAAAATGTTTGTATTTGAGCACTTACTTTATAAATCAGTATGACAAGATCTACTGGAGGAGAGATTAAAAACATTCCTTCCTTCCCTCCCTTTCTTTCTTTCTTCCTTCCTCCCTTCCTTCATTTGCTTACATGATGACTTCATTGTTAGCCTCTAATTTCACTTACCACATGAAGAAAGAATGGAAGAAATCAGACTTGACCAGAAATAACAAAGGTGTTGAGATAGCATCAATATATTTTTCAGAGTCATTTTCTGCATAGAAAACCATGGAGCTTCAGGTAAAGTAAGGCAAGAAATATTGCAGTTTGCAATGGCAATGTCAGATAGATGTCTTTCCAGGCTCATGTTTGAACACTTGGTCCCAGTTGGTGGCACTGTGGAGGCTGTGGAACCTTTGGGAGGGGAACCTGACTGGAGGAAGTACTTCCCTGGGAGCTGGACCTAGAGGATTAGGAACTGACTCAGGTTCCTGGACCAGGCCTGATTTCACTGCTTCCTAGTGTGTCTAAGCATGAACAAGATTCCTCACATTCCTACTGTATCTGCTAGTACAGAAATGAAAAATACTACCAATGATATTTTATTTCAACCTCAAAGAATTTCAATACTCACCAAACAGTGTATGTCTCCTCCTGTGAGGACATCTGCAAGTTTTACTAAAGTCCAGGAAATACCATAGAGTGGAATTATGATTTATAGTTTCTAACAATTATGGTTTATGAAAGAAACACCTGATGGTCTTGAGTCAGAACATAAATGTTTATGTAGAAGAAAGCGATTTACATTCTAAATGAAGGAAGCAGGGGTCGGGGGTTAGAGATGGCTGTGAGTAGATCTTCCTTTGGTCCAACATCTTAGTGAAGATGCTGGGGTCATCTGTGTTCTGAGCTTTATCAGGGTCACTCCAGGACAATAAGTAGAGAAATGCCAGACAGTCATTCAGGAAAGACAAAGAAACAATAAATGTCTGGGGCAGGGCCAAGGAAAAGAAGTAGCCTAAAGGAAAAACTAGAGGGGAATTCAAGTAGCCAGTCTGTTTAACAAGGCCATCACATGGTGAAATCTGCACAGTGTTCCCAGTGATACGCTGATCCTCTTGGCTGTGGTCTGAGAGGGTGGCTATGCACTCCCTGGCCAGGACAGTTCTTCAGGAGCCCTTTGGTGGAGAGCTTACTGGGTTTCAAAGTGGAGGGCTCAAGTAATTTATACACAGAATGCTAAGGGTGAAGGTGCCCCAGTTGCTGGTAAAGACACATAAACAGGTTCAGTCACTGTGCTGTATGTGTGGATAAGTAAAACTTTACTAAATGAAAAAGAAGTCTGTCCTCACTCAAGTCTCAGGATTTGGGGAACTGCCATTCCCATGCTCAGCTTGCCACCTTGTCGTCGTGAAATGGAAACTATTTCAGACATTGTCATTAAATATTTACACACAGATGTGGATAAATACAGATATTTTTACTCATTTGGTCAATATAAGCTGATATATATTTCATAATTCTGAAATTATAGGGTAAGGAATATTATAATTATTAAAGTCATATAAAGTATTCTAATTTTCTTCTAAGTTGTAAAGCAGAGACAAAGTAGCCCCCTTTAAAAGCACATTTTAGTAGCATTTTCTTATAAATCATTTTAGATCCTAATGTTACCTTTTCTTTAGCCTTTTTAATTTTTGCCTTTCAGTCACTAACATCATTTGGATCTTGAATTTCCCACAAGGGCCGTGTGTTAAAGACTTAGTCTGTAGCTTCAGAGACTGAACTTTAAAGGTAGGGCCTGCTTCCAGGTACTTAGGTCAGTGGGGTTGTTCCCTTGCAGGGCATGCTAGGATGTGAGCCCTTGCCTTCCCCTTCTCTCCTGCATCCTCTCCCTTCTGTCTGTCCTGGCAGCTACAAGGTGCTCAAGCTCCTCTGCCCGGATGTACTATGACTCCAAAGCTCCAAAGCAAAATCTGAGAGACCACAGATGGGAACCACTGAAATAATCCTTAGTCTATATCAGGCACTTGGCCAGTGATGGAAAGTGGACTTACACATAAAATTGCAATTCAACATACTACTAATATACTAAATAAAATGTAAAGTTCAGAGTATGGCTCAGGGTAAGAGCATTTGTCCAGGAAACATGCATGTGTATGAGTATGCATACACACACACACACACACACACACACACACACACACACACACATATATGACATATATGCACACAAGTATACACATACATACATATGCATACATACACACAAACATAAGCACACACATATACAAATATACATACATGAACACAGATATATACATATACATCTATCCATATATATACACATATATAAGCACATATACACACATATTTACACATTTATTGACATATACATGTGCACACATATACATATATTTACTCACATATACACACACATAAACACATATACAGACACACATGCACACAGGAAATTTAAAAGATTTGGATATATCCAAGTGTTGTTAAGATGATATATACTTTTGATCTATAATTCTTACTAATTCTGCAGGAATTAAGGCACAGCAGGTGTGACAGGCCATGTTAAGGATCATATGTAAATATCAGACTAGATGCCTTCAAGTTAAAGTTCTCAGTATGGATCTCAGTGCAGGTCAAGTGTCCTGTGCCTTAGCCTTTTCCACGCAGTGCCATAGGAGCAGGGGTCATCCCAACTCACGCTTAGTATTTACAGTTAAGGTCATGCCAGTCAGGCCCTAAACTCTCAGCATTGAAGCATGCACATTTGGTATGTTCAAAGCTCACTTCTCAGTAACTCTGGTTGGGCCTCTCTTCTCTCAGACTCTACAAATCCCTTTGGACAAATCACTCCTCTGAGGAGACACGGAGTCTGACCTGGGTGAAGGTGCTTCGTGAGGCTTTATGCTGGCACTGCGGTCTCTCCGCACTGGTGCAGGCTCCAAGGTGGGCAGACCTGTGGCAGAGGTGGTGGTTGTCCAAGTCGAGGAGACTCTTCTCAGCAAGCCTGGGGGCAGACTTCTTCTCAGGCGCTGGAAGGAAGATTCACTTTGTTACGAGCCACATTTTAGATCCTTAACTTTTATGTAAAACAACGGAAGGAATCAAGGCATGTGGAAGCCGGGGATGGAACAGTACGGGCCAGATCTCATCTCTCACTATCCTGGAACATTGAACGAGAAACACAACACGGGAGTCATGAGGAAGGCAGCAGTAAGCCGTGCCTGGTGTTCAGTGGGAGCAAGAAGCAAATTGGGCTACACAGCAACCACTGGGGGGGGGGGGGGTCCTGAGTCTCCACAGGACGGTTCTGTCTCAGACTGCTCACAAGTGGCAGGAAGGAAACCTTAGAGACTGTGGAAAGATTCGCTCAGACCAAGCCCTTCATGCCACACCTACCTTGGGAATGGCCAGTTTGTCTTTCTCCAAGCCCTCCTCAGAATCAGAGCAGGTATAGTTCTCACCGAAGGTTACAGTGGGGTTCACTCTGGGCTTGTGGATGGCCTGGAAGGTGAGCTGGGTGCTGAGCAGGTTGCTCACGGCCCTCAGGGATGTGCACACGTTTGGGGGTAGAGAAGGGTCTGCGAGGAGGTCAGTAATGAGGCCATGGGCCTCGCCCATCACGGCGATATCCACAGTGATGCTGGTTCCTGACTGGGACACCAAAGCAAGAGGTCAAGGATGGTGGAAGTGTGGAGGCGAAGTGAGCCAATTCAGGCTTTCTGGCTGAAAGACAAACAGCTGTCAGGCATGTAGTGCACATTTATAAACTTGACATACAAGCAGCCGAGGCAGGAGGATGAAGAATTCTAGGGCCAACCTGGGCTATGTAGCAAGACCCTGTCTTACTTATGCACTTTCTTATAAGTAAAAAGCAAGTAAATCGAGTTAAGCATTTCAGAACAACGAAGTTCAAGTCACATTGCTGTTTTGACACTTAGTCAAATTTGCATGGTTGTTTTTGTGGGTCCATGATTTTCAAAAAAAAGTTGCATTTTTAGAAAATATATACTGACACATAAAAATTGTACATGTAGGTTTGAGAGGTGGCTCAGTGTTTGGGAGCACTTATTGCTCTTACAGAGGACCCACACGACAGCTCCTAAACATCTGTAATTCTGTTTCCGTTTGGTCTGGTGCCATCCTCTGGCCTCTTCCCATACTTCATGCAGATGATGTGTATCAGTGGTCCTCAACTTTCCTAATACTGCAACTCTAATACAGTTGCTCATGTTGTGGTGACACCAACCATATATTTTCATTGCTACTTCATAACTGCAAGTCTTCTTCTGTTATGAATCATAATATAAATATTTGATATGCAGGATATGTGGGGGTCATGATCCACAGGTTGAGAACCACTGCTGTACATACATATATACGTGTGTGTGTGTGTGTGTGTGTGTGTGTGTATGTGTGTGTGTGCAGGCAAAACATTCACACACATCACACATGAAAATAAAAATAAATAAATATTAAAAAACATTTCAAACAGTTATACATGTGATATATTAATAGATTACATATTGTATAATATTCAAATCAGGGTAAGTACATCTATCCCCTAAACACTCATCATTTCTTTGCACTGAAAATATTCCAAGGCTTTTCTTTCAGCTTGTTAAAAACTCATAACATATTATCTTCACCTACAGCCTTCCCCCTGTGCGAAGGCATGTGGCAGCTTCTTCCTCCATCAGAGACACGTTTTTCAAAGCAAGAGCTTGAGGAGGAATGGGCATTTATAGCAAGACTAAAGCAGCACTAAGGTTGCATCTTGGTACGACAGCACTTGCCTAACACATTTGAGCTCTGAGTTAGATGTCAGTATCACTGCCATCCCATGCCAAAGAAACAAAAGATTGAACCAACCAACACCCAGTTTTAAAAGGCAGAGAATTTGAGGGTGAAAGCACCATCAAACATGCCTCATGAAGAGTTCTTCATTCTACTGTCCCTGGAAAATTCCATTTTGAAAGTGGCATTAACACACAAGAAGAGCTTGCTCCCAGCAAAGTTTTAATGTAATACCTGAGCTTGGTATGTGGTAGGGATTCAAGGAGTTTGAGAGACAGACATGAAAAGCCACCAAGTTTGGGCCCGAATTCACACTCCATCTCTCCTGGTTGAGAAGATGAGATTTCAGTTCTCTACTTTTGTGACACATTTGTTACAATTTGCCAGGTGTCCATCAGATCAGAGCCATTAGGGAAGAAGAGAGAGAAGGAAAGGAAACAATAACAAAAACTAAAACAAGAAGTGAGGGCAACTGTTCTCACATTGCTGTTCAGGGAAGATTAGAAGAGAGGGGGTATTCAGGGAAGGCCACGTGGCAAGGTGAAGCCTCCAAACAATAGCAAAGGACCATTTGCTCTACCATGCAGTCATGGCGTTAGGCACAAGGAACTATGTAATCTCAAACTGCACATCATAATGATCAGGGAGGCAGGTCTTGGATCCAGGCATTTAGATCCAGGTCTGTCTCATAATCTAGTACTTTCCAGCACCACAGTCTCTATCAGATCACTAAAATTTCCCCGTCCCTATATCTTCCATCTGTGATTTTTAGGTATAATAATAAGAGTTCTGGAAGTGAGCATGGGGGCAATACCTGTAACCGCAACATTTGGGAGAGGTTGTTCAAGGTCACTCTTAGTTATATGATGAGTTTGAGGACAGTATGGAGATATACTCTCTCAAACAACAGAACAAGACAAGAAAAAAGCAAAACAACAATAACAATAATAACAACAACATAATAATCAACCATAATGTTAATGATAAACTCTAAAGGTAAATGTAAGAATGAAAAGAGATGATGTACATCAAACAATTCTGTATTAGCAGTTATAAAATTTCAGTCACAGTTGTGGTATAAACAATAATATATATAATAATATAGATAGAAATAATAACCCTAAAGCTTTTCAATAAGAAGCTATTACAGTGTTAATAATTTCTCCACAATAGACTTAAATTTCAATGATCTGAAAAAATTAAATGTATAGAATTATAAGATGAAAATGAAGTGTGAAAGAGTGTTTTATAATCTGGCAGACAGAAACTTTAAAGATAGGAATTCAAAAACTGCCAAGGAAACCTGTAACAGGGTTGTCTATATAAAGATAGAAACATCTATATAAGAAAATGCATCATAAAGGAATAAGTCTGAGGGAAACTATATGAGACAAAACACAGTAAGTAACGGGCCTCTAAAAAATTAATCAAAGGAAAATAATATGGAAAAGGGGAATTGGTAAATAATCATCTGGTATGATATGGGCTATAGGCATGCTGTATATTGCCTTTATTATGTGGACACATGGTCCCTGTATCCCTAGATTCTTTAGGACTTTTATCATGGAAGGAAATTGTATGTAGCCAAAGGCTTGCCATATCTAATGAGATGATCTTGCCATTTCTGCCCTTGGGTCTGTTTATGTGCTGGTATCCTGATCAGTTTTCTGACAACTTGACACAGGAAGCATTATCTGGGAGAGGACCCTTAACTGACAAAATTTCTCCATCAAATTGGCCTCTAGACAATTTATGGCCATTGCCTTTATTGATGTGTGATGTGGGAGCTCTCAGCCCACTGGAAGTGGTGTCACTCCTGGGGTGGGTTTTCTGAGCTGTAATAACAAAGCAGGCTGAGCAAAGCCATAGGAGCTTTCTTCTACAGCCTCTGCTTCAGTACCTGCCTCCAAGTTCCTGCCTTGACTTCTCACCATGACAGTCTGTATAAACTATAATTTGAAATAAATGATTTCTTCTACAAGTTGCTTTTGGTCACTGTCTTATCACAGTAGTATAGACCTAACTAGAATAAGTAGACTACATTTATTGATGTGATATGTTGAACCATCCCTGCATCTATGAGATAAAGTCAAATTGATCATGGTGGATACTCTTTGATGTGCTCTTGACTTCAGTTCACAATTATTTTATCAACAACTTTTATATATACATTCATGAGAGAGATTAATCTGCAATTTTCTTTTTGTTGTTGCTGTTGTATGTGTGTCTTGATCTTAAGTCAGGACAATGAATGCCTGCCAGTCCACACAGGAGGTAGGAGTTTAAGCCCACCATAAGTTATATAGCCAGTTTAAGGCAAGCCTGAACTATATGAAGTGGCCCTAGTATTAAAAATAAAGAAATAAAGAAATAAACCAAAACAAAACAAACTATCTTCTTCTCTAACAATTAAAATGTAAAACAATTGAACAAAATCACCTATTATTACCAAACTTTGACAGAGTTAAAAAAATTAGCCAGGACCAAGTATTTATAAATCAATGTGAAAATTTAAATGCACTGTTAAAAGCTTCAGGATAATTATGCATATGTCATGCAGATATACATGATTTATGACAACATTCACAAAAATACCACCAGATTGGGCTAGTACCTCTTTTAACAACACATATTTTCAAGTTTATCTCATATACTTGTCAAAAAAAATCACCCAGGGCATTCTTCTGAAATGGAAATTGTTCTCTCCACCTGTACTTTCCTACTACAAATAAGCCATGTGATAGTTTGAATGGGAAATGTCCCCCACAAACTCAGACTCTTAAATACTTGGTCCCCAGTTTGTGGCTCTTTCTGGGGAGGTGCAGCCTTACGGCAGGAAGTACACTACTAGGGGTAAGCTTTGAGAGTTCACAGCCTTGCACCCCACTTCCCTTCTGCTCTCTCTGCTTTATGCTTGCAGGTAAGAATGTCACCACGCCTCACCTGGCATAATGGATTCATATAGCTCTGGAGACATAAGCCAAAATAAACTCTTTCTTCTATTAGTTGCTTTTGACATGATTTTTTTTGTCACAGAGACAGAAAAGCAATTGAGACACATACCCTAAGACACTGTACTGCTTCCGTGAAAATTTGAAATTTTAAGTTGAACTTTGCAGTTAGAAGTTTCTCTAGTCCCACCCAGCCCCGTGGTCACGTAGCTGCTTATAAAATAATCACTCAGAGGCTTAATATTAATCACAAACTGTATAGCCCATGGCTTTTTGCTTCTTGCCAGCTAGTTTGTATAACATAACTCAACCCATTACTATTAATCTATATATTGCCACATGTTCTGTGGCTTTACCTGCGTCCCATTACATGTTGCTCCTTGGATAGTGGCTTGGCATCTCCCTTACTCTCCTTTCTCCTTTCTTTCTCTCTCTCTCTCTCTCTCTCTCTCTCTCTGTCTCTGTCTCTCAGATTTTCCCACCTGGCTCCATCCTGCCCTGCTGTAGGCCAATGCAGCTTTATTTATCAGCCAATCAGAGCAACACATATTCACAGCATACAGAAAGACATCCCACAGTAGAACTTGAAAAGACAAAATTTTAGGGCTTTTTAACAATGAAATAAATCTCAAAAAAAAAAGAAACAGAGCAGGTCCATCCATAATTAGGTTAGATTTTTAAAAATAAATTATTGGTGAGGAGAATAACTTTGTCTAATTTCCTATTTTTATGTCTTAAATATTTTTATTACATTTATTTGTGTGTGCATGTATGCATGTATGTATGTGTGTTGTGTGTGCTGTGTGTGGTGAGTTAGTATTGTGTGAGAGAAAGTGTGGTATGTGCATTTGTGTGTGAGTGTGTGTGTATGGTGTATATGATGGGTGTGGATATATATATATATAT